CCTGCTGTCCCTATCAGAGATGTGCCACCTTTCCTCTGGTGAGTAAGTATTGTTTCTTGGCCCTGTTACTGTAGGATTCCCTCAGTCCAAGGACATCAAGAGCCCATATCCAGTCATAGCTAGCCTATGAAAAAGAGTAGACACAGAACTTTTCAGGGATGGAGGTGTTTCTTCCACTCTACCACTGATGCATTTTTAAATTTAAATGCTGAAAATCTGGTTCACCATTAGGAAACTCTCCAAAGTCCTTGGATTCTCTTCTCCACCTATTAGAAAAGCTCTGGCATTTCAATCTCATTAACTGTAGACCACCCATGAATCCAAGTGTCTGTCCAGCTGTTAGGGCTGCCCACAGTTACACAAACTAGCATATTAAATCCCAAATCTCTAGTAAGTGCACTCTATTAATGAATTCATTAATAATTCATAATTATTCTGTTGTAAGATACTTGGAATATGATCCCACATATCTCCTACAAGTTTCTGTTAATCTAAATTGGAAAAGTCTTGTGATTCTTTTGCTATGCAGGCTATCTCCTCCTGGGCCATAGTGTGTTCTTATCCCCTGTGCCCTAGTGATATTAGACCCTAGCTCTAAGTCTAGTAGAAATAGGGAGTCGTTCTGGTGTGTCTTAAGGAGAACAAAGCATCTTCTTCAGTTTTTCATGCAGAAGAATGCTAGTTTCCTCAGACCTTGTGGGTCACATGATTTCCGCTTGTAAGAGAAGCTCAGAATGACTGGAGAGACCAAAAACTACCAGTATTTTACTGAGCCCCACCCTATGTCCATATTCCAAGATTCTTTCACTATTTTCTAATCAGTGTTCTAATATTTACATGAGAAATCTGACAAGGCTGTGAAAACAAACATTGCTGTATTTCAGCCACCTGTACAACTCAATTTTCAGTACTATTAACTCTGAGGCTGTAAGAAATTAGAGATTTTCAGGGCAATCATAGAATTTCTCTGGTTCTCAAACTGTAAGTTGGAACTTAGAGTTAAGGAGCCTAAGATTCTCCTCTTTCCATGCATGTATTTAAGTGCACTCACCACAGTTCTTGCAGCTGTCATTTTATTTAGTTATTTAGTTATTTTTATACTTTTCTTTGAGGGGGGGAGGATTGTGGTCACCAGTGAGAGACAGAGAGAGAGAGAAAGGAGAAAGCACACCTCACAGGACATGGTCATGTCATGTTCCTTCTTCAGGATTTTAGGCACTCATGCACACACACCTGGAATGTCTCTCAAGCCTCTGGGTCTGAGACTCAACTACACAGTCAATCATGTGAGATTTGGCTGCTTTAACCCTTAGGCCATAGATCCAGCCTTGCAGTTGTCACCATTACCCCTGCCTCAGGCTCCCAAGGAACTTGGCACAGTTCACACTTCATCACAATCTCACTGGAGATAATTTGACTAATCGTAGAGAACAGCCATCTGAAAACATGTGATTAAGGGACCAGCAGTTAGCGTAATGGCTATGTCGCTGGACTGCCATGTAGTCGACCGTGGTTCGAGTCCCGGACCTTGTGGCTTAAACTCTCAAGCTGGGCACGTGTGTGTTCATGCCCAAGATCCCGAGAATGGAGGAGAAGGGATTGTGATGTGGCCATCCTCCCTGGGGGGTGATTTCTCACTTTCTGTCTCTCTGTCTGTCTTTCTGGCGAGTGCACACGCCCTATGGCAAAAACCTCTTAAAAAATGTGATTAAATAAAACATGTGGCTTGTAGACACATGCAGATATGCGCTTCCGTAAGCAACTCTAGCAGGGCTATTGAGAAACATCTACATACAAAAGCAGTATCTGCCTGTTATCAATGGTTGTCTTACTCTTGCTGTTAATAGCCAATACCCCAATACTGCCCAGTATCAGGCTAAAGGAAGTCACATGTGTTTATCAAATTGTCCCCCAAAAAGATTAGAGAAATTATGTGGCACCAGTCATTTTCACATCTTCCGACAATTTACATCCCAAAACAACTGGCTTTGCATTCTAATTTTTTTCCCCTTATTCTCTATACATTCCATTTTCTTCTTCCCCCATTTTCCGCCCTTTAAAAGAATAAACCTGAAGTTGGTTCTGGTCGCAACTTCTCCATCAAAAAAGCTGTGCCCACCCAATCCTCACTTTTCTAAACGTGTATGTCTTTGTGTGCTTGTTATTGCATCTATTTCTAATCCACAGCCTTCCCCACTCAGAGAAACATGCACATACCAAGCTGGTCCTGGCAACTAATTATGGTATCCCTGCTGCCATGGATTACTGGTATTCCACTTCCTATTGACAAAAAGTGTATTTCTGTGCTCAAGCCCGTGAGCAATAACAAATCAACCCCCAAACATATCTTTGTAGATCTATATCCTGGAAGCACTCTCTATCTCCATACTAATACCGTACCAGTCAGAGTGACCAAGCAGAAGATAGAAATCACAGTCATTTGAACATGTAAAGTTTAATGTAAAGAATTCTCATCTCAAGGGCCCAGCCCACTTGGCACAGTCGTGTAGTGTGCTGGACCGCAGTGCTGGAGGCCACATGACTGACTATGGGCTTGGAGTCAGGTCGGACTGAAAATATGCTGGGTGTGCATGGGGACGGTCAAGATCCTGAAGAGCTAGAGGGCTGGGAAAGAGAATTATAGCATTACAAGATGCTATCCGAGGCGTTTTCTCTCTCTCTCTCTCTCTCCTTCTCTCTCATATGTGCACATGTTTTCTACTAAAAATAAATAAGTAAATAAGTGAAGGATTACCAGTAACAGGTAACTAGGAAAGTATTGAAAAAAAGGAATATCCTTAGGTAAAGGAAAGTATCCAAGGTATTCAATAATACAAGTAGCCAAGAATATTCTCAGCTAAAGAAAAGATGGGAGGGAAGATCAAACAAACTTAGGAGGGAAGACCTCTCTCCAAATCTGGGATTCAGATTGCTGTAGAAGCTATGGCTGCAGCTAACTGGGTGGTACAGAATTTCACTGGGGTCCCTGGTACAGAGCTGTTTCATGAAAGCAGGAAATAGTCTTCCAGGTGATGCAAGACTGGTCAGAAGTATACGAGTGAAGTTAGGGAATAAAGGCTCCTTTACCTGAGTGGTGGCATGAGACCTGGGGTATGCATTGCCATGAGAGTCCTAAGAAACAACTTCCTGAGGTACAGGTGAACTGAAGCTGGGGGTATTATGACTGCCAGGACTGAGGTATCAGGAGCCAATTTATTGGCTAGGTTGTGCAGAACATAGTGTCTACCTTGAGAAAGTCTCATCAAGGTGATATTAGGAGGTTAGGGCTGGGGTTCAAACCTACCTACAACCTATATACCTCAGACACACAGGAGTACAACACTACGAGTTG